AATGCAAGCTCTTTTTTTCTGTTGATTCAGTTTTATTTTGGAACCTTGCTGTGAGTAAATTTGCTATAGTGCTTGCATATAACACAGCAGTGATGATACTTCCAAAGTAATTTATTAGTTGTGAAATAGTTTGGGTTTCTGAGGTTGTTAAAGATGCAGTATATAACACAGATTTTCTTTTATTTCACATAGAGACAGAAGGGACTGGGTGAATCTAGACACTTCTCTTCCTTCATGGGTATCACTCATTCTGCTACATTGAATTTTCGTGAGGCTTTATAGCCAAAGAAAGAAATTAATATCAACCAAAATATGACAAGCAACAGGGATACTGTTTGCCCAATATTCTGCAATAGTAATGTAGGCCTGCTTGCCATTTGGATTACAATAAACTAGTGGTTTTTGCAACTGCAAAAGAAAAGGTTGGTGGGAAATGCACAAGTTTTTCTTCCTCTGAACAGTATTGTGTTCAAGATTAATTAAGAAAGATGACGTAGAAATGGCTGACTTTTTTCAGTAAAAGGAGTGAAATTCTTGCTGTTTGCTTTTGATTTTGATTTGAAATAGTTCAAATTATGTACAATGGCATTTGTAGATGGCTGTCTTCTTTGTAGCTTATTTCTGCAACATCCTGGTGTCATTATTTTCATGCAGTGCAGAACCAGTACTGTGACCAATTTTCTCCACTTTATGCTAAAATTCAGATTTCAGACTCAACCTGAATATCATCTTTTACTGTTTTTTGCTTCCTTATTATCCTTTAGCTAGAAAGATAAGTGGCCAAACAGTTGCTGAGAGACAATCTGTTTAATGGCTCAGTATAAATCAGTTTAGATTCCAAATAATTCCATAATTATTTTGATAGTGACGTGATCTGGATTTTTCATTTTATCTGCTTACACAATGCATCTGCCATCACTAACCAAAACATGCGGGGTTTGTGTGAAGGTTTACAATAAGAATTTTAAAAACTTGAATAAGTTTTAAAAACACATCAAAAGTAGAGACAGTGGACAATTTCAAGTATACCACAGAATCCATAGCAGAGGAAGTTCACACTGCATAGTTATTTCAATGTTGGGGTGGACCATGATGGTGAGAAAGAATATGACGGTGATGGAAAAATATTCCTACTTAATATTTCCATCATTAATTATTTTTAAATTTCAGCAAGTCTGGCAGCATTTGGAGAGAGAAACAGTTGACTTTTTAGCTCAATGACCTTTCATTAGAATTATTCCTATTGTCTGCTCAATATCACTGTCAAGAGACCTAATTAATTTTCATGATCAGACCTGACCAACTTGTTTGATGACTCGTATCTGTGAAATTTTATATGCTGGAGATGTTGACAGCCACAGACTGGAATCCAGGCACCAAGCATTGATGGCTGAGGGGAGCTGAGGAACGTTCATAGAATCGTACAGTACAGAAGTAGTCCTTTGGTCCATGACGTCTGCACCAACTAAACTATTTTAAATTTACACGAGAGTCCCTTTCCAGCACTAGGCCTACAGCCATGAGTGTTACATCATTTCAAGTGCTCATCCAAGTACTTTTGAAAGAGAGTGAGATTTCTGCCTCAATTGTCTTCCCAAGCAATGCATTTCTGATTCCCACCACCATCCTTTGGGTGAAAAGACTTTTTCCTCATGTCCCCTTTAAACCTCGGCCTTTCATCTAAAAAATTATAGTCCTTGTTATTACCCTTTCAACTAAGGGGAATGGTTACTTTCTACCCACCCCTCAATCTTATATGCCTGAATTAAGGAACCCCCTGCTGCCACCCACCCCCCACCCCCCTCTGCGCGCGCGCACAAACACACACGCGTCTCTGCTCTGAAGAAAACAACCCAAGGTTATGCAGACGCTCTTTATTGCTAAAACGCTCCATCCCAGGCAACATCCTGGTGAATCTCCTCTGGACCCCCTCCAGTGTAATCATACTCCTTTAATGCGATGACTAGAACTACATGCAGTACTCCAGCAGTGGCCTAGCCAAAATTTTGTATAGCTCCAACATAACCTTCCTGCTGTTATAATCCATGTCATGACTGATAAAAGCAGGTGTCCCATAAACTGCCTTAACTACCCTATTAACCTGTCCTGCCACCTTTAGGGGTCTGTGGACAAGGACTGAGAGATCTTTCTGAGCTTCCGAGTGTCCTGCCATTCATTGCCTTCTTCCCTTGTCTTGTCACTTCTTCCACTGCATCATCTCACATCTTTTTTCTGACTGCAGGTTACTGTCCAATTCCCATGTAAAAATAGGTATGGAAGCAGTTGCAATGCCCTGTACATTGTTTGTCAAGGCTGAACTGAGTTAAAAGCAGAGACGAAGTGTCACAAATGATTAAAAACCAACTTTAGTAGAGATCTATATACATTTAGTGACTGTTTCTAAGAATACATTGACAGTCCAACAAAGATGGCTTTCATCAAATATAGAATAGGCAAGATTGCTGCTCCTATAAATTTCTAGTAATTACTAGGGCAAAAGCCAACTTACTTCTCTGGTTTGTGACAACTTCCATTTGTATGAAGATAATTAATTCACTACAAAGGAATAGTAGACAAAATATCTACCTCACCCAGTACTCAACAAAGGAAACCGTTGAAGCACCTTCTACATTTGATGGCAGTAACAGCTTCATTTATCTATGACAAACTACATTTGGTTTTGACCACGATGCCAAAACAGTCCCTTGGTCCCAATCAGAATTTTTTTTTGTTTGAATCACCATTAAATATTTTTTTATTGGGGACAACAAGACTGTCCTGTGAGGAGATATTGGTTTGACTGTATTCACTAGAGTTTAGAACAATGAGAATGGATTGGTTTGAAATGTAGAAAATTCTAATGGGACTGGACAGAGTGGATGCAGGGAGGGTACTTCCCCATTTGGGGTGTCTGGAACCAGCGGACATAGTATAAGGATAAGGGATAAACCATTCAGAACTGAGTTGGGAAAACATTTCTTCACTGAAAGGGTGAAAGTGAAGGTGGAATTCTCTGCCACAGAAGGCTGTATAGACCAAGTCACTGAATATATTCAAGGAAAAGAGAAATATATAGGTATTAAAGACATCAAGGAGTGTTGGGATAAAGTAGGATGGTAGCATTGAGCTTGGAGGGTCGACCATGATCATATTGGATGGTGGAGCAGGCTCGAAGAGTCAAATGGCCTACTTCCTGCTCTTCGCTCCTATATTTTTGACTTCTTCCCTTTGTTTGCTTTTAACACCAGAACAGTCAACATAAAAAACAATTCCAAGTTCAGCTAAGCCTGTCTGTAATCTCGACCTCTCTCCCAGGAGTCTAATTTTCTAGAAATAAACCTGTATTTCACATGCAAAGTGAACCATTTCCCAGGTGACAACTGCTGCAACTTCGACTGCAATTTGACAATATTTGAACACCTATGAAAAGGACTATTGTGTGCAGTCAATTGAAAGGACCTCCAATGGACATGAACTTTATTGGACTCCACTTGAATTAATACTAATATCTTATTGATATTAAATAGTCCATCATTGTAACTACATTTTTCTGTTTTCTGTACCTTTTTTCTTGTATTCTTCTTTGTATGGATTCCTTCATTATACCCCAGGTTGAATATTTCAATAAACCAAAGTTTGTTGCAAGTCATTTAAATATTGCACTTCACAAATCGAGGGTTTGGGGAACACCCCACTGCCTTTTCTTCTATAGAAATGGAAATGAAATAGAAAAGTCCCAATTATTTTGAAGCTGTTTGGGTGTTTTAGTTACATACTTTAAATAAAACGGCTGCTGAACTACACATGTACTTGATGTTTAGACTGCTAAGTGTTGTGAACCTATTAATTACATTACAATAAGTTTGTGCTAATAGAGATATATTTATGAAAAGCTAAATATAAATTAAGCAGGAGGAAGCTAATTTTCTTTGTGTGGAGCTGGAGGAACACAGCAGGTCGGGCAGCATCAGAGGAGCAGGAAAGCTGACGTTTTGGGTCGGGACCCTTCTTCAGAAATGGGGGAGGGGGAAGGGAGCTGTGAAATAAATAGAGAGGAGGGGTGGGACTGGGGAAGATAGGTGGAATGGTGAGAGGTGAGTGTAGGTAGGCAGTGGTGGGGATTGGTCAGTGAGGTGGGAGGAGCGGACAGGTGGGAGAGAAGATGGACAGGTTGTGTCAGCTCAAGGAAGTGGGGATGAGAGGGAACCTTTCCCTGCAATGGCAGGAAGTGCTACACCTGCCCCTACACCTCCCGCCTCACTTCCACTCAAGGCACCAAACAAACCTTCCACATTAGACAGAGGTTGTCCTTCACATCTATCAGTGTGGTCGATTGCATCCGTTACTCCTGATTTAGCCTCCTTTACGTCGGTGAGACCAAGTGGAGGCTTGGAGACTGCTTTGTAGACCACCTGTGTTCTGTTCGCAACAAACGACAACACCTTCCAGTCACGAACCACTTCACCTCCCCCTCCCACTTCCTGGATGACATGTCCATCCTGGGCTGCCTCCAGTGTCACAGTGAGACCGCCCGGAAACTGGAGGAGCAGCACATCATATTCCACCTTGGGGGCCTACAACCCAATGGTCTCAATGTGGACTTTACTAGTTTCAAAATCTCCCCACCCCCGGTCTCATCCCATGACCAACCCTCCCTCTCATCACCGCCTTCTTGACCTGGTATAACCCGTCCGTCTTCTCTCCCACCTATCCACTCCTCCCACATCACTGACCAATCCCCACCACTACCTACCTGCGCTCACGTATCACCGTCCCACCTACCTTCCCCAGCCTCACCCCTCCTCTCTATTTATTTCAGAGCTCCCTTCTCCATCCCCCGTTTCTGAAGAAGGGTCCTGACTCAAAACGTCAGCTTTCCTGCTCCTCTGATGCTGCCTGGCTTGCTCTGTTCCTCCAGCTCCACACTGTTATCTCAGACTCCAACATCGGCCATTCTTGCTATCTCTGAGCTAATTTTCTTTCTCATTTTACAATTGCAGAAGAAGATGTGGAAAATTTTGATGTAACAAACCTGTCGGAGACAGTACAGCGGAATATAGAAGCTGATAGTTTCTGGTGTATGAGCAAACTATTGGATGGCATACAGGTAAATTTTATTCAATAAACTGAGAAACTGACTAATTACTAACTAATTTTTGGAATCCGCTTTTCTCTCCTGCACACCCACACTGACATTTGCTCAGGTAAGCATCCACTAACATTAATACCATTTTAGTACTTTGCCTTGATTTTGTCTTTTGCTTTTGAAGTGAGATATTTAATGCTTGAGGCTGTTTGCCAAATTGAAATGTGGCATTCAAGCCTGATTTTCTACTACCTGGTACCTAGCTGAAGCAATAATTGGCTAGAAATTGGTAGAAAGTTCAGATAAGATAATCTCATCCCTCTAAAGCTTTTGGGACATGTAGATCCTATTATATGGAAGTGACAGGAGCTACTTAAAATGTTTTCAGAGACCCTAAATAATTTATTTTGGTGTTCACAAAAGCAGCTGCTGGCTTGGCATTGAGGATAGATTTTCCAGAAAATGGATGCAGTGTTAATAATAAGGAAGGAAGAAATACTTGTCATAAAAAGGAGGATGATTTTAGTTGTAGTAACCACACAGGACATTTATTCCTTTCACAGGACAATACAGAATAGGTTATTATTGAAGTGCACTGGCAATCAGTTTTATCTTGTGAGGCAGTGCAAGAAACTGATTATTTGGATGGGCAGGGATTAATACTGGGACCGTTGTTCATCTCATGGTGTATTTAGTTTAAGTGGAAAGTGGACACAAAGTAGTCCCAAATTGGCAACAGTGAATTGAATTGCATGTGATTTATGTGAGCCTGCATTTGAGTTTTTATCACGATATTTACAGAGGATCATTGTATCAATGCTTAATTATCAATTGTTACCTGCTTGGTACCTAGCATCAGGCTCCTTAGATCCAAATAGAGACTGCTAACATTACGAAAGCCAAAATTTAGAAAGCCTCTTATTAAGATATGCAAGGTCTTTAAAGGTATTGACAAATTTAGCCATGAGAAAATATTCATCATGGCCCAGAAAATAACAACAGCAAGGATGAATGGGATGAAGTTCAGAAGAAAGACTGTTAATGTTCATATCAGAACTAATTCACTCGGAGGATGAACACTTTGAATGGACTTCCAGAGAGTCAACTGCATGAGTTGAGGGTGAGAAGGAATTGGGCAAGTTGAAAAAAAATCAATTGAGGAATTTAGGTCAAGGATTGGATTCTGCTTTTGAATTCAGGTAAAGGTCTAATGGCCAGAAATTGTCATTTATTTTGTCTTAATGTTCCTGTAATCACTATTTTTTGTTCAAAGCATATGACCAAAACAACGATTTGTCAGTCTTAGACCTTCCCTTCAGTTCTGCTTACTTAGTTTGCAATGAAGTAGTCACTAAATCTGTGTCTTGCAAACTTTTGTAATATCTCTATCAAATCAACTTTCAAAACTTTACAGTGTCTACTTTTTAAATTTTTGGCATTACCACAATCCATCGGCATCAAAGATTTATCTGGTGTTTCTTGGCTAGGTTATTTATTTTCTGTTTGGCAAGTTTGATGTGCAGCTAAAGTCTAAAATAATTTTTATTTTGTGTTCAGCTGTGATTGAACTATTTCAAAAGGGTTCTAACCATGACTTTAACGTGCACTCCTTTGTACTCCTGTCTTGAGGTGGGGTCATATTTCATTTGAAATGTGGTTTTTGTTTGCACTTTGTGCTGGACCCTTAAGTTATTGTACTCCTCCATGTTTTCTGGCTTCTTTGCATTTAGAAAATACTCTGATCCATTTTTTTTGTAGGTCCAGAGGAAATAACCTCCTATTTCCTTACATTGAATTCCAGCTGCCAGAGGTTTGCTCATTCAGATTATTCTATTATTCCTTTTCAACTTTTTAGTCCCATCTACATTACTTATTGTTACACCTCACTTTTCTCTCCTCTAAATCATTCGTAAGTATTATGAAAAGCTGGACCACTCAGTGCAATTCCAATAATCGCTTCCTGTCGATTGGAATACGTAGCCATTATCTCTATCTCCTATCTTCTAACTAACTCCTTATGCATGTCGATAGTTAATTTCCAGTTCCACATGCTGTTACTTTTGTTAAGTCCATTATGCAGGGCAGAATTTTGCTTTTGTTTGAGACTTAGTTTAGAGATAAGCCTAAATGTTGGAGGTACTTCCAGTTGGGGTGGTTCAGTTTCCTCACGCAATTATGTTCTTCTGAACTTAATGCATACGCATGACTGTGTAAGACCCCAAATTTTATGGACAGGAAGATCTGAAATCTGCTGGGACCTTCTGATTTCATATTTAAAAGATGCTTAGGCACTTTATTCTCTCAGGAGCATCACTCACTTTGTTTATAAATGCTATCTACTCCTGGAGAAGGCAGAAACCAGGCAAAAAGAGGTGTCACGCTTCCGCAGCCTCCTTCGGAGGTTCCCCTGAGGCTGTCCAGGAGGAGAAGAAAACTTATTTTCCTTATGGATTGTAACAAGGGACCATCCGGACTGATGAAGCCAACCTGAGCCTGCAGAGGTCAGTACCCATGGGTGGCTCGACGGAACCTAGCTCCAGTGCTCCCTTGAGAATAAATTATCTTTTCTCTGCCAGGCCATGGACCACTGTCCACTCAATACTTTATGCCCCTATGAATGAGAATTGTGATTGTAAAGTTGCCCTTGAAGAGAAGTGTCAGTGTAGGAATTTAGATGCCTGGCATCAGATGATTTGTGTAATCAATGTCTGTCACTGCATTGCAGCTACCAGTGAAGCATCACTTGTACCACAGTACTACTGGCTCTCTCACATCTGCTAGGGTTCACATTTAAAACGTAAAAGGAGTTACAGCAACTTTTTAAGAAAGACTTGCATGGGAGAAAGACACAACCAAAAAAGATTTTGAGGTGCAATAGACATAATCTGCGATTTACATATCTATGTAGTTACTTTCTGATTAGTTAATGTCTTTCACAAGGCTTAGTCACGATCCCAGTAATGCAACAGGATATTTGATGATAGTAGGTCTAGAATTTCCTAACTTAACTCTGTTGCTGTTCTTAAATAATTGTAACACAATGTCCATTTTCCGATCCAGGGATATAATTGCTGATTTGAGAGAGTCGTAGAAAGTTTTTCACAATTTAATGCTCTGTGACCGAAGCTGTCAGAAGTCTTGAAGATTTATCCATCTTTAGTATCCTTATTTTCTCATTTACAACGAGTAAAACAGAAGTGTTAATCTACTAAACGTCTCCCACTTTTTCGATTTTCACAGAATTCTGACACTTTATCCAAATCATCTGTGAAGACTGATGCAAAATAAGCCTTTAACAAGCTTGCTGCGTACTGATTTTCAGTAACATTCACAACTAAACTCATGTTTAAGGAGCACTCTTCACTGCCCTGGCACTGTTTGCATAATTGTAAAATCCAATTATGTAGTCCCTGACTTTGAAAATCTTTTTTTTCTGTCATCACTCCTCAGAGTTCTTACTACAATTTTAGCATCCCTTTACGTTTCTTTATATCTGTTCTATTGTGCAAGGTCTTTACTGTTCACGATATTCTATGTCCCTTCAAAGTTTGAATAAAGGCCAAAATTCAAACAACGGTTTTTCGACTAAAATTCAAATACCAATTTTATGTTTTGATACAACACCCCTACAGACTGTTTAATCTATTGAAAGAGATATAGGCCTTACTGCTGCTGAACTCAAAAATTTTGCAACCTAATGCTGCTCTGCATTTCTGGTGGCACCATCCGAAACTTGCCTCCTTTGCTTTGGGTTTAAGATGAGCTTGCCATAATAGGAGAGGAATCCAGTCATCTTGGTCCATGTTGGTACCAACTGCACAGGTAGGGCAAGGAAAGAAGTTGTGCATAGGTAAGATCAAGAGCCAGATAATTTTAAAAAAAGGTAGAACTTGCATTTTTATCTGAACCACAAACAAATCAGCAAAGACCAAATAAGATTAGGGAAGGCAATGATGTAATGGTAATATCACTGGTGTAGAAATCCAGAACACCAGACTAATGTTCTGGAAACACAGATTCAAATCACACTATGACAGATGGTGAAGTTTGAATTCAGTAAAAATAAATCTAGAATTGAAAATATGGCCTAATGGTGACCATGTGATCATTGTCGATCATTGTAAAAATTCATCTAATATCCTTTCGAACAAAATCTGCCATCCTTTCCTCTTGTGGCCCACATGTGGCTTCAGACCTAGAAGGATGTGGTTGATGCTTTCTTGTCCTGTATACAAAGACAAAGAAAATTACAGCACATGAACAGGCCCCTCAGCCCGCCAAGCCTGCGCCGATCCAGATCCTCTACCTAAACCTGTCAGCTATTTTCCAAGGATCTGTATCCCTCTGCTCCCTGCCCATTCGTGTATCTGTCTAGATACATCTTAAATGACGCTATTGTGCCCGCCTCTACCACCTCCGCTGACAACGTGTTCCAGGCACCCACCACCCTCTGCGTAAAGAACTTTCCTCGCATATCTCCCTTAAACTTTTCTCCTCTCACTTTGAAATCGTGACCCCTAGTAATTGAGTCCCCCACTCTGGGGGAAAAAGCTTCTTGCTATCCACCCTGTCTATACCCCTCATGATTTTGTAGACCTCAATCAGGTCCCCCCCTCAACCACCGTCTTTCTAATGTAAATAATCCTAATCTGTTCAACCTCTCTTCATAGCTAGCACCCTCCATACCAGGCAACATCCTGGTGAACCTCCTCTGCACCCTCTCCGAAGCATCCACATCCTTTTGGTAATGTGGCGACCAGAACTGTATACAGTATTCCAAATGTGGTCGAACCGAAGTCCTATACAACTGCAACCTGACCTGCCAACTCTTGTACTCAATACCCCGTCCACTGAATGAAAGCATGCCGTACGCCGCCTTGACTACTCTATCCACCTGCGTTGCCACCTTCAGGGTACAATTTTCCTGAACACCCAGATACAATTAGGGAAGGTCAATAAGTGCTGCCTTAACCAGTGATGTGCACTTCCATGAAAGAGTTTAAAAAAGTATGGAGATTAATATGTGGCTTAAAGACGAGTTGGGAGGAGTAGGTTCTAATTCATGTGACACCAGCAGCAGAACTGGAGGAAGTGAGATTTATACCATTAGTCCAGTTTACATCTGTATATGTAAAGCGATTGGCTTATTCTATTTTATCTTTTCTTTTGCAAAAATAACGTTTTGTTTTATTGTTGAAACCAAACCTGCAGCATCAGTTTTAGTAATAGACTATCATTTTAAACTGAGAAAAAAAAACAAAACAAATGTGATCTATCAAGCATATTTCAGACCGGGAGCTGACCTGTCAAGAAATGACATCGGCTGGGATCATATCAATATATTGTGATGCAATCTGTCCAAAACGTATTTTATGGTCATCCTCCACAGTTTTGTCACCCTTTAAGAGCAGCTGCGAGATAATACTCTCCTTGTTAGCCAGATTGTTATCTGCATAGGCCATGTTTCTTGTTTCTTGTTTCTTGTTTCTTGCTTCTTAACGCCCAGAACATGCAATGTCTGGATCCTGTGAACCGTGAGTTCGCCACTTTACCAAAGACACATGTTTTGTCACTCCATGTTCAAATGCAGCTTTGTTTTTCAATTGAAGATTTGATTAGCCATCGCAGTATTCCCTGAATCAAAAGCAGGTAGTTCTCTTACTTTCTTTTACTCTACTTTTTTGTCTGCTTTGACAAGGGTTTCTAAGTAACAGGTTGCAGCAACTATCTAATTTGGCACAATTGAATGAATCAGCAATTAAGATAATCATGGTCATTATAATCAATTTTTTAGCCACTAATACAATATTGTCAATATGATGCTGCTGATCCTCATCATATTCCTCATCTAAACTACCTGTTCATGCATTGCTTCAAATACCTGACTCCTGATTCTTGGATTTTTTTAACGTAGTGGTATTTACAGTCACGTGAGAAATGCTTATTTCTTATTCTGTGTTCATTCATTGTCAGCTATCAACTCAATCATGTATTTTCCTTTGATTTAGAAATTTGTTTGAAGGTGACCCATTCGTAAAATGTTTCAGCAATGCCTTGTTTTGTATACACCCCTACACCTTGACCAGATGATTTTGTGTTTCAGTAATCATGGAGTCCTTCATTCTCTGAGTCATTGCAGGATTTCCAACATGTCCTGAAAATGATTTGTTTCCCCTAAAGCCTTTTGAGACCAGTTATTTGCTCTAAAAGAGAGTCATTACCCCAAAATTGAATACATATCAAAACTAAATGCCTACCCATGTGTGAGTTATGCACAGTCCAATAACTGACAGAAACTCAGGAGTTTCTAGATTGATTTTGAAAGGTTATATAAATGACCAAAGAAATTCAGTGATATATTCTTCCACACTTACTATCCTTCTTTTTAAATTAATCAAATATGGACCATGCCTCATAGGTTTCCAACAAGACACCTTATTTTGAAAATTTTGTCCAGTAATGTATGAGAATTTTTGGTGTTTAAATCCTGTTCTAAAAGTACTTTGTTTCTAATCTTATCCTTTCCTGGTCATGATAAAACTGAAGCCATACCTTGCTTGAAGCAACCCAATTCCATATCTCCACCTCACTCTTCCGTTACTTGTATAGCTCTAATTCCGACTGGTGGGTAATCATAGTTCATAACCCTGCAGCAAGCCACAACTATTTCACCTTAAAAGCCATGAGCAGCTTTGCTTTTGTCAGAAACAGGGATTGACTTCAGCATTTTTTATTTTCCCACTTATATAGATCAAAGGTAGTCCTCTGCTACCATGTTTAATTGACAGATATCCATAAACTGAATCGCACAGCTGAAGACTTTCCATGATTTACAACAGTTTCAGTGTTGAACTACAGTTTAGTACAAGTACCAAGTTCTAACTTTCCCTACTGGATCCCTTTCCTCTCCAGAACCCAATCCCTTATCGGTGAAAAAATCCAGCTCTCCAGTAAACAGCACCTACTCTCAAATAACTGTGAAGCAGCCTTGGTTTACCTCAAAAGCAACATGCAGAGACTATTGTGGCGCAATGGTAGTATCCCTACCTCTGAGCCAGGTGCCACCTGATCCAGAGGTTGTGATAACAGCTCTGAGCAGGTTGATTAGCAAATATCTAAAAGACACCTAGTATTCCTAAAATTGTCACAGAGAATTCATTCATATTCCTACCTTGTTTGGTGGCTAACACACAACATTAATTGCCATTTCTTTCAAAGTGTAAGACGTATCACTTAATTCTTGGTAAGTTTCAACCTCTTTTCCTAGTTGTAACCAAACAACAAGGCTCCTCCTTCTGCCACAGTTGAGTAAAATCTCACATTCCCCTTTTCAGGATATTCCATTTCACCATAATTGAAAGGAAACATTTTACGAGCTGACCATTTTCTAAAACCTTGCAATCTTAACAGTTTTTCTATGATTTCAAGATGTAGTTAGTTATCGCACTTGGGCCTAAAGGAATCGTAGAATTTTGGGAACAGGTTTTTGAGTTGGACAATCAGCCATGATAATACAAAATAGCGGAGCACTCTCAAAGGGGTGAATTTTTGTACCTACATTCTATGTTTGTGTGAAACCTCTGGTACCTTACTTGGATGACTTATTGTTGATATTGGTGAGGACTCTTGGTACAAGAAATGTGACACTAGTGTTTAAAAATGAGCTCGTTTTAATTTGTTCCCTTGCATGCCAGCAGCACAATCTGACGTCCTCCATTTTGACACAATGACCAAATCAGAAAGTAAGGGATGTTAAAACAGGGCATTGTGTTTTAAATGAGGAGAGAGGACATTTAAAATAAATCAGTGTTAAAGTGAGAAAACATTAAAAGGGGAGACGAAAAACTAGGACACTCTGTGCTCCAATTTTTTTCCTGAGTTAAGGCGATTAGTACCATTGCACTAATTAATCAGTTCTTATGTCTTGTTTCTCTAAAGGACAATTACACTTTTGCTCAACCAGGGATTCAGAAGAAAGTCAAAGCACTTGAAGAACTCATCAGCCGAATTGATGGTAAGTCTGGATGATGTTATCTATTTCAACAGTGGATCATTTGAGTGGCAACATTGTTTACACCTCTGCCAATTATTATTGTTGATTGTAAAATATATTTAATTTGGCTAAAATGTGTAACATACTGGTAAAATTTGCTATTTTCAATTATTTTGTGCAGTTTGTTGATAAGACATCTTGATCTCGTTAGTTCTCTGTTTTTACATTTTATTATCTGATCAGATCAGGTAGTTTCAATGACAGAAATTGAATTGTTTCCATTAGTTAGTCTTACGTAGTCAGCGTTTCAAATATTTACCACTTCGTATCTGAGACATATAGTAGAAAGAGGTCAGTTAATATTTCCAAAGGGAATAATCCAGACATTATTTATAATCACAAAACATTCTCCTATTTTGGGTTGAAGCTTTTGTTTATTTCATTTGTTCTAAGGAACTGTCAATCCTCCTTTTCTCAGTGACTTTAAACTTTGGTAGCACCAAAGAGACATTCAAAACAATATTGAATGATCAGTAAATTATTTGAAACAATTAGATGTTTCCTTTGCAAATACCATCAGCAAGAATATCTTGACAACACACTTGGTTTACGTGAAAATTGCATGTACATGAATCATAAAATCACCACTACAGCGTGGAAGCAGTCTATTCGGCCCATTGAGTCCACACCGACCCTCCAATGAGCGGCCCTCTCCAGACCCAGCCCCCTAACCTATCCTTTAACGCTACATTTCCCATGGCTAAATTCAGGATCTAGCCTGTACATCCTGGCCCCACAGGCAATTTAGCATGGCCAGTCTGCCTAACCTGTGCATCCTTGGACTTTGGGAGGAAACCAGTGCACCCAGACAAAACCCACACAGACATGGGGAAATTGTGCAAACGCCCTGCTGGCAGTTGCTTGAGGCTGGAATTGAACCCAGCTGGTGTGGACTTGATGGCCCAAATGGCCTGTTCCCACACTGCAGAATTTTATGACTCTATGAATAAACTAAAACCTTCCATGAGCTTCTTTAGTAAGCCACATTACAGTGAAGGATGGACTGCAATTAAGTAACATTCCCTCCTGTAATTACTGTTCCCGTTTGAAATGGACCAATTTAGGTTCTCAGGAGACATGAAGTTTTGCATGCTTAATTACAGTCATGAAATTACAAATTTTTGAGTGAGATCCTTCAAACTTTGTTTCTAAGATACAGACTATTGCAACAGACTAAACCTCCATGCTTATAGTAAATTAGTTTTGTAATTTTAGTTGCAACATAGAAGTTTTACTTAATGCTCATCCAGTGTTCCTTGTTAACATTGATTCACTTACTGTGCTTGTGTTTTTTAAAGCAGTTATTTTTGTTTTCACAATAATGCAAATGAAAACATAAAGTAATAAATAACTCCCAGACATTGTGAATAATCTACTCCCGTGGGATAAAATTGAATTTAAACGAAAATGACCCTGAAATTTTCCATTATGGAACAAATGTTTTATCAAATAATGGCTTGTGATGTATTGTTGAAATGCCCTTCATTAGTAATTATTGTATTACTGAACAATGTAAATAAGTGCAGTTGGGATCCATTAAATCATATTCTAATGCAAGTGTAAACTAAATTTCACAGTTAAAAACAGTACAATAACTTGCTAATATCAATACAGAGTTTCTCTTATGGATGAAGTGTATCTTTATATTCAATGTGGTCTGCATTTGATTTTGGATGCTACCTTTGTAATACTGGAGGTCTTTATGCTGAGTGAAGTGAAATATGCTCATCTCAAGTTGATCGGAAGTCAGCTTTACTAGATCAGGTGGCCTGTATCCGAGCAGGAGCTATAGGAGATGGGTGGGTATATTAGTTTCAGCTTCCAAACTTTCCCTACATTCTAGTATGACTTGATAGCATTAGATGTCACCCCACTTCTCCAGAAAGGAAGAGTCCTGTAGGCCATTTAGTCTGATATAAGAAATGGAAAAATATTAAGGACTAGGTACTTGGTATAACAGGACAATGAGAAAATCATAATCATTCAGATATTGTGGTTGTGATGAGAACAAACTGTCAGTGCCCAATATCATAATAACTTCTTCACGTGCACAATTAAAAGTGGAAATCTAGAAATCACTGCGACGGTGTCTTGCTCCTTTTGTAGGGTGCCTTTTTATGCCCTGCAATTGGAAATCTTCGGAAATCTCTTGAATCCTGTAAATTTCTATCTTTATGCTTTTCATCTCACTGCAAAAAACCTCAAAAAATGTTATACCATTCTAAGTAAGGTGTCTCTGTTCTTAATGGTGTACGTTAAATTTCAAGTTGTAAAAGTTTATGAAATTTAATCTTCCATATTAATCCAATGTACGTGACTTTATTTTATCTTATTGCTAGTTATTTGATAGTACAGAACTTGAGTATCGCTGAAAAAAGTCGCATTTTGACAAGTCTTTTCACCTTGCACTGATCAGGACAATTTGCAAGAATACCACTTCAAGGGGAAAACAACATTTATACTGTACAAGAGGAGAATGCTAATTAGTTGGCAAGTAGACTGTTGTGGGGGCATTGCCGTGGAGCATGCCGCAGTACAGAAGGGCTGACGGTTAACAGGTTTATTTTATTGTAAGTGAGATGATTAATAAACAAAAGATAATCGGTATGTTCTTTCCTCTTGGCTTGTTGTCTGTGAAAATCTATTGGTGTGATTACCTTGTAACTGACTTGATGAACATGTTGCTAATGTTGGGGTTCCCCCATAGCTAACACAGGAATTAAATGTAGTGTAAAAAAAAATTGTGAAATCCCAATGATCCATTGTAGCATCCTTGTGGGCAGCCTTCTTTGAAGTCAGTGGCAAGATTTAATGCCTTTATGATTAGACAGAGTCAATGTTCTTTTTTGAAAGGAAAATTGTGTTTCGTAAACCTGTTTAAAAATATTTGTGGGTGTAACTAGCAAGGTAAATAACAGGAAGCCAGTGAATGACTTTCAAAAATCTAGTAAAGCTCACTCTATAAACTGCAAAGAAATTATTGTTACATCAGATAAGAGCTCCTGAGATTGGAAGTAATCTATGAGCTTGGATTGAGAATTGGTAATTAGTCAGGAAGCTGAGGTGTGGAATAAATATGTCGCTTTTGAGTTGGCTTGTTGTAACTGTCATTGTGTCACAAATGTAACAGTGTTTGAGATTCAGCTAGTCACAATCTATATCAATTTCTAAAATAAGGAAAAAGTGTGCAAGTCCTCCAAGTTTTACTGAAATCAATTGGAAAGTTAATCTGAGAGGACATTTGAAAAGGCTGAACAGGAATATAGTCTGGTTAAATGAGTAGATGGGAAGACGATAGATAAATTAAAATTTAGGGAAATTAACCACTTTGACCTGAAGAGTAGGAAGGTGTAATATTTTTTAAAAAGGTTGAAGATGGGGAGATGTTGGTATACAAATCACAAAGCAATTAGGGATCCAAGTGGTATGCTAGATTTTCTTGTAAGAAGTTTGGAAGATACGAGTAGGGAAGTCTTGCTGCAGTTGTATAGTGCTTTAGTAAAACCATATTTGGGATACTGTGTACAGTTTTATACAGTATTTCTAATAGAAATAGACTGACCTGAAAGGGGATGTAACATAGTTTTTCTAGAGTGCTTGTCTGAGCGAGCTGTCTTGAGAGAGTGAAAAAGCCTCTCATAGTTGGCATGCTCAGCAACCTTCTTAATTATTCTCGGGCCTCAGAGCTCAGGTTTATTTAAGTCTATAAATCAGTAGATTAATGGCTGATAACATCCTTTTCAATGGGCACTCGTCATTAGTGTATCATTTGCCCAAAATTTATAAAGGTAGAAAATTGAAATCATGTCATCATTTCAAATTCCAATGCATTAAAGTTAACATGTGAGACTTTTGTTAAGTGGGGGCATTATTGAAATATGTAGTTACTGTTTTAATATTCCAAAGAAGGTGGGAATTGGTGTTCCTGAAAGATTAGAGCTGGGACCATCAGTGTTTACAGTTTATGTTAATACTTTGGATTTTGAACTCAGACACAATTTCTAAATTTGAGGATGATGCTAAATCAAAGAGAATTGGGGGGTAGTCCATGTTGTGAGGAAATGGCAGCAGTTACAAGACAATGTCAATAAACTTGCAGAATGGGCACATCATTGGCAATAGAGACCATCATGAGGTAGTGTATTTTTGTAACAACAGGGTAGTCACTTATTAATTGGGTGGTGCAAATCCAAGTGGGATAGAGAAAGAAAAAAAATCTCCGTACAATTATACCAATCATTAAAAGTTGAACCATAGTTTAACAAGATGATTAAGAAAACCCCACAAACGCAGGGCTTTATTTCTGGAGGGCTAAAATTAAAAAGTGAATGAAGTTTTGTGATACCTACATTTAACCTTGGTTGGACTACACTTAGTGCTGTATCCAATTCCATGCCATATCATAAATAAAATGTTTAAGCACTGGAAGAGATACAGACAATACTTACAAAGGTGATCTCAGAAATGCATAGATATACACATCACAATTGACTGTCTGGGTTTCTTTCTCCTAGGTAAAAAGAAGGCTGATAGGTGACCTAGTGGAAATCTTTAAAACTTTTGAAAACACAAACATATTATGATGCTTTGTGTTTTGCATTCATGAGGACTGTTAACTTGACTCTGCAAGGAACAATCCTGATTGCTGTAAAAGCTACACTAATGACGAATTTAAGATGATGCATCTAACTCCTTTATGAGATTTAGAACTGGCAATATATTTTATCCGCAGAGATCTGTTCTCAGACAAAGGAATATGTTCAGTGCTTACTCATTTTTTTTAAATTACTGGAAGCATGGGTAGATCACCATTCCTCATAGCTAGTGTTCTTCATCGCAATACTTTGGTCAATCAGATTAACTTGCCAACATCAGCATCCTTTACTTCTGTTGAAATTGTTGGAAATTTGGCATGTTTGCTTTGTTGTGGTGAGAGCAGGATGATTAGCTTTCGCATCATC